GAGTCGAGTTTCAGCCTTTGATTGACTGACTGCTTTAATTTGAAAAAGTAGAGTAGAGACGTTAAGATGTAGAATTGCTCTTCATAATTGGAGGGTTTTTGTTAAGAGCGAATCAATGAACTATGTAGCCAAAATCATAGCGAATTTCAAGCGAAGCTTTAAGACTATGTCAAACTACCATACGAACCTGAGCCAAATCATAGATCTTGAAAGTTCAACGTTCTTTCATGTCTATTACGTGGATAATTGGTGAAGCAGTTCTTTGGATACATGAGCAATCATGAAACCAACCTTAATTTTAGCCAAGTTCCGGCTCAGAATACAGTATTTCTGGAGATAGTTAACTTTTAGGATTCTTGCAGATACTCACAGTTCGGGCCAGTTATTCCACTATTTGAGACTGGCTGTTTTGAAGCCTGCAAACCTTTTGCTTTTGGGTAACATCCGATTCTTCTAATTAGGTAACTAAAAATGGCTGCAGTGAAAACTGAACCCGAACTCGACCTTAGAAACCGAACCCGAACCCGAACCATGAAACCGAACCCGAACCCGAACTCTGAAACCGAACCCGAACCCGAACCCGAACTCTGACACCGAACTCGAACCGAACCCGACCGAATTCGAACCCGAACCCAAACCCGAACTCAAACTCTCAGACCGAACCCGAACCCGAACGTTCGGGTTCGGTGCATGCCTACTTCCCACTCCTAGTTAGAGATTTTTCAGAAAAAAAAAGTTATTTGTTATTTTTTTGTTATTAATAACTTTTTTGTTATTGTTGTTAATAACAATAACAATAAATTCACACCCCTATTATTACATACCTTTATCAATCTACTTGATCTCAAAATTCGATCTAAAGATAAAGAAATAAATATAATATTAATTTCTAAAACATATTATTACAAGTCACGTTCATCGACATCGAAGGTCAATTCACTAAGCCCTAGACTGACGGCATGATGACAAGGAGATGCTTTTATTTTTCTGGTAATTGATGCCATGTAAATGGTCATTTGTGCCGCAGAAACGGTCATTTTTGCCACACAAATGGTCATTTGCGCTACAGAAGCGGTCGTTTGTGCCATAGAAATGGTCATTTGTGCCACAGAAATGGTCATTTGTACCACAGAAATGGTCATTTGTGCCATAAAAATGATCATTTGTGCCACAGAAACGGTCATTTGTGCCATAGAAATGGTGATTTGTGCCATTGAAATGGTCATTTGTGCCACAAAAAAGGTCATTTGTGCCATAAAAATGGTCATTAGTGCCACTGAAATGGTCGGGTGGGTGTGGGTGTGGGTGTGGGTGTGGGTATGGGTGTGGGTGTGGGTGTGGGTGTGGGTGTGGGTGTGGGTGTGGGTGTAGGTGTGGGCGTAGGTGTGGGTGT